TCAATGACACAATTTATTCAGATTTGTTGAAGACCGATGCTAAATGCCTAAATACGTTAATTGTCGATCAACTTCCGATAACCACACAGGTATCACAAAATTGTAGAAAGTGATCACGAATTCCAGTGGGTAAATAATCAAACGCTCAAACTTCCTTAATGTTGTTCACAAAGTAAACGCTGTATGTATTACCTCAACTACTGGCATGTATCCCATATCACTACTGTGAAATTATTCAAATCTAGCTTCTTTTCAAAGATCACACCACCAACAAAGCTCAATCCGCCTCAGATCTGGACAATCATCGTCCTACTGGTATCATCTATGGAGTCCGTTCCTCAGCCAAAAGGGTGACGTATATTGTGAACCAACATGCTAGCAACTGTACTATCCATGTAACGACTGTTCACATCCCGAAGACCACCAACTCCACGGTTACCAATAAACGTTCCATCCCAATAGCATCAGCAACTACTAGACAGAACGTGACGGAGCGAGGTCAGTCAGGTGCGCTTTTCTACATTACTCTTTGGCGTTTGATTCTGTTCCTCGGTTGCGACTCGTTCACGAATGAAAACTTTTCGGGTGCTTACAATGAACGAATGACTGAATGCCCAGTTACTCCATTTGGTGGATACAGTGCACAAAATTGAGTGAAAATTCTTCTAAACACGTTCATTTATTTCCCTGTGCTCCAAGTTGCCGTTTGCTCCTCGTGGAAATTATCCACTACCATATTCGCCAACTTCAATCTCGGTATTTTAAAGTGCATTATTTATCTCGTTCCGTGCCAATCAATCTGTTAGATGTAGAAAATGTTGAACAATCTTTCATTCAGATTGGTCTCCCAATTAAATCAACAGAATGTCTTGAATATATCTGTACTCTTTCCAAGTTTACAGTATATCCAATTTCCTAAAGCACGACGCAAAATATTCCTAGGTGAGACTGTATTTTCAAATAGCCGGAAAGATTCAGGTCACTCATTTTAACCTCGTTTCTTCTACTAATGGGCGAAAAATCCTCGATTTGACATGCAACGAATAATCATAGAGCACAAGCCCATGTTTGCATTTCAGTCAGTAAATTCGGAACTCATAGAAAACATGAAACTAGAACACATTTTTTGTGAATCACATGAACCACTATGAGTCTAAAACAGGACTGCTACTTTTTCTTTGTTCTTCGATATACCAGCCGTGCATGGAAGGGGTTAATTCTCGCAAGTGTTTTCTGGTGCGACCGGCAATGGGCTAAATCAGTGTGCAATAAGTGCATAGAACCTCAATTATCTGAGGAGTAATAAGTAATTATGATTCAAAAATGAATTCCTCGATACGAATTACGGGAAATATGCCCGATTTTCTTGAAAAGGAAAATGGAAATTTGGAATTTTATTCGGAAGTCAGTGGATGATCTAAATTCTAGTAATTTCGACCACATTGATAAAATAAACTTCCTAGAAAATCATTTTGGTGAATAAACGTGAAGGTGTGCAAGCACCGTGGAGGCGACTGTACCGCTAAGGGTACTCTGCGCACGGTGAATGTAGGAGAAGTCTCTTGGGAGATTCATCGTTTGTGAGTGCTGATGTGGACTGAAAAGATAAAGTGAACATTGCGGAAGAGGTTGAAACACAAGTGAGGTCCATTGGTACCTGGCACCCTTGGGGATTTATAGTGGTTATGATTGGAGGACAATAATTGAATGCCAACCTCAGAAGGAATCACGATAAACACAACTGGAGCCTGTGTTGACTGCTTAGTAGTAGCTACAGGCCCCTAAACAAGTACTGATGAACCAGATGATTATTTTAGTGATGATGCCAATATATTTGATGGTCAGAGCTCATCAACCGATCGTGCTTTCCCGTAATTCCATTGCTGAAGCAGTTTCTCTGCTGGCTGATTGAGTGGCGCCCCTTTACGGCTTATAGATATGAATACTAATCACTGCCGTGGTTATACTGGGATGAATAAGTGTGAGCTGCAGATTGTTCGGCAAACCTATTTCACAATATGGTCGAAATTAATGGAATTCAGATTGATGTTGTCAACGAGAAATCTATGCTACTACACGGTTCAATAGAACTGCATGATATCACCATAGTTTTGTTGCCATTCAACTAAGTTTTCCACAATGGAGCTGAATGCAATGGAATTTACAAAAATATCCAAAATTCTCCTAAGGTACTTGAATTAATACCTAAACGCAACTGACGGAGACTCCACCAACTACCGGACAACAAGAAATATGTTCAAGTTTGAAATAAGGACAGCTGATTGTACACACGACAATTGCAGTTGCGGTGCATTCTTCCAGCACTACGCACCATAGTTATCGCACCTGTTTAACGGCTTTTATGAAATTAGTGCCAGAAAGCTATGAGTTGTTGATAATCTGCAAATGTCAGCCCCATCACATCTTGCACCTATCAAAAGCTACATGAAACCTGTTAGAGTGAGTGGCGCTGAGTTGAACATCTATTAAATGGATGTATTACATTGAGCCGGACCTTTACATTCCATTGTTTTGCTTGTGTCGGGTGTCCACGACATCCTTGCAACCAGTGATCATAGGCAGGCAGGAAGAAACGGTTACATATGATGACAAATGGGACAGTTGGATCCACACAACTCCATCATCATATTTCCATCGTTATTTTTACTTTTCTTTCCAACTTTGCCATACGGTTGATAACTTTTATTTCTTAGTTAGATTGTTGTTGCGAAACAGCAACCAGTACAGCTACAATCCAATACTAGTTATGGTTATTCCAACTGAACTAGATTCACTGAATTCTTTCACATTCAGGAAACCAAAGTGAATATGCGAGATTAGGATACAAAGGGGTTGGCCACAAGCACTGTGCCAATGAATGACGTGCCACTGATCAGACGGTGCATAAGTTGCTATTTCACTCGGACTTTCTATGCAAGGTGCTACTAAATTGTCCAGCATGATCCGTTTATTCGCAATGAACGAGTTCAAGTCCGTCTAGATACCGGTTCACTCGATTTGCATAAGTAGTTTTATCCTATCACTCTGTGGTTGATAAAGCACTTTTGACTAACGATTTGCAAATTCTCTTGTCATTTACCGTTTTCTCAAGCTGAAGAGGCCAGGCAGCTTTTCTCGCAAAAATTCAGAACGAGTAAAAATTTAACTACTGCTATTGTTTCCAGTGGTACTATTAGCAGTTTGAAGATCCAGGGTTGTGCCTGTTCGCGAAGAATACACTGTGCAAGCATCTTGAACCTCTTGCTTATGTCACGTGTCTTCTCCGTTTCTAATGCATCCAGACTTTTGCCTTCTACGGTAGATGTTGCATAAATATCATGTTTATGTTCCTGAATCAGCTGTCCTAGAATCGTACATTTTCTTTGTTGGGAAAAGCTTCCGAATTTTTCACCCAAGCATAACACAAGCCCTCCAAAGGATCCAAGCCCCACTGCATGTACATTATACCGCTGAACCAATCAACGCACATACGGCGTAGGTTTATTCGTTTGCGTTGACACAATTCTCTATTGTCGTTTGAAATGTACTAGTATTTGTACTTTAACAACGGTAATTTCTTTTCCCCCATTTTACCGACAGATTATTTCCTTATCCTGTGACCGAAGCAATCATTTCAGGCTGACCAGGATTCTTGCTTTGCTATCTGTACCACGACCGTGCTGCGTCATAGTTTCATTTGACTTGCTGCAGAGTAGACCGTTTATAACTGCCCCATCCCAACTCTGGGGATAACTCTGTGTACTGTTGTTCTTGGTTGCTCACCTGGATGTCAGTCATTTGCCTTTGTATATATATATATATATATATATATATATATATATATATTATATACATAGTATTATATAGGACCACGAAATTACGACTAACACTGTCATTCAATTGGTGCATGGTCCGCTGCCCGTAGCCGTGTGCAGTTCGTTACGTTGGCCAAGCACATGAGACTAAGTTTCCTCTAAATTTACGGCCCGATAAATTGCGAGAGCCTCTACATTTATCTCAGGGGAAAATAAGTGTGGGGAAAGGACGGTGTTTTGGAGTACCCCGCAAAATGCATGTCCATTGGTTGGCAGGAGGGATACTTAAGTGGATGAGTTTTCCACTTTCATATGTTCATTTTATTTACTTTATTTATTTTACGACAAGGTACACAGTTCCGGGTAGGGCGTCGTGGCTGACGCAGGGTTTTCAAATTCGGAAACGACTGGTGGTGCGAAAATCGGATTCCGCTGGTTAATATCCGGAGTCCATGATCACAACCTTTGGACTACCGCCCATGAAGCAACTGGATATACGGTCAAGCATATGTTGTGGGCATCAGAATGATTAGCGTTAAGCTAGGAACCATGAGTGAGGAACGGAATCAAACGCGGAACAGTAATTCAGAATAAAACACTTGACTGACTTCGCGTTGTCATTCATATATATACGGATGTGCTCGATGAATGAAGTCGCAGCTTCTATTTCTCTTCTATTTGCAAACTCGAATAGGTCATGAGGGACGCCTACATAGGAGTGCAGGCGTGTGAAGATAGCAGCATCTATTTTTTTCAGGGCAGCAGATGATCAGTCTATTGGGATTAAGTGTTTACATAGACCATCGAGGTGGTGGTCTTTGGAATTTGGACAGTGCTTTTAGGCTCACGTGTGTCACGAATAATGAAGCTACTCAGAGATTGATTCACAATAGATGAGCGCCGAAGCTGACAAAGCCAGGACAAAGATCGTCCAGAACCTGGGCAGAATAGGCTTTATTGGTCCGAAGGAGTCTTTGTGTATGCTCCCTGAGAATGACTTCATTGGTATAATCCTAAAGGACCGATGTGAGGATACGGTGTTGATTATTGAATAGATAAATTCAGAGTTTTCTTTGTAAACACGACTATGGAGGTGAAAGCTTTTGATCTACGTGCACAGATAACTTTGATTCATTTCTGCGAGCACTTACTAACCTTGGCAACGATAAGTTAACCGACGAATACCGCCTCTAGACTCAAGATATTCACTTCGATTAAATCGGAATACTTGTTGACGTCAATGTCATCGTTGAATATGAGGCGATCATAATCATCTTGAAAATCCACAGCACTCCAGACGAGAGCTTGTAAATCTTTGAAGCGAGACCCTTCAGTCATTCCCTCAAACCATGACCAATAAGATGATGTCTCAAAAAATAACAAGAGTGCGTTCAACCCTAATGATAAAGCGTATCACAAATATGAAATAAGATTTATTGCCTGGTGTCCCTCAGATACTTTCAACTGTCAAAATAATATTGCGGTAACTATTGTTATCATGCAGAGATTTTGAGCCGCAGAGTGCCATAAATTTAACACGTATGCGTGTTACCGACTAAATATATCCCCGTCATACTTCCGGGTTTACTTGAAGAAGATATTTTATTTGTCATCAATTCAGCTAACCGTTGGTCTTGACATAATGATTTCAATAACAACCTGATCATTAGCTGTAACGCAACCCAATACTAAAATGCATGTCTGATTTCCTGTCTTAAATACATAGATGATAGCCCACACGCCCAGTTCATCCAGATAGTAGAACTTGCTGATTAACATTTGCCACTCGATCCCAGTAAAAAAGCCCATTTGCTCTCGCCAGAGCTCACAAATCCTCCGTATCTCCTTACATCTTTCTTTGCCTCAACAAGCCATATTTCACTACCACGGATTTTCCTAACTCACGCCGGTAAACGTACATTTGATTACTGGATTCTTTTATTCAAAATGTTTCAGGTCAGTGTATCAGCTAAAAATGCCCCTTTGGGTGAGTAACTCAAACTTGATTTGGTATGACTAATCCCAAATTAGGAAACTTAAATTCTATCCCATGTTGCCTCATGCTTAAAACGGCAAAATATGTTTCTTCTTGACAAATCTGGTAATTCATACTTCGATAATCTATTTCATGGCAGTCACAAAACTTGCCCTATATTCACGGCTAATGTATACTCAGTTTACTTCAATCCGTAGAAAACATAAATCTGTGAGTCATTCGGTTATGTATCTATTCCTTCTTTAGTAACTGCCAAATATAGTGCAGTCAATCTGAAAATATTAAACATCTGTCCAATTTTGAGTACCTTTTATGATTTCAACACAATGGACACGTGACTTCTTCATATTTCGCAATATTACAAAAAACTCGAAAGGCAGTGTTTTCGTAAACTTGAAGTTGCAGCATCGGCAAATGTTGTGCTATGAAAACGAAACCTTATGTTGTAACGAGGATTTGAACGCCATAGGAAACCTACTAAAATCGAGCTTAACTGATCAATGTGGTTTCTCAGTATTTTGTGCACTGGTAATGCGAGGTGCAATAAAGAAGGGCTTACAATGCTTATGAGGTGTTTCCCTTCCCACAAGTTCATACTTTGAGCAGTAGCTACATGGATTTAAAAGAAAACTGCTAACACTACACTGTCTCTGTGTTTTGCTGCATGTTTTGCCCAACTGAAAACCTCAGAAGCTCTCAACTTTGAGGGTCAATGTTGCAAAATCAAAGGACAAAATCACGCCGACCATTTCCTAAGAAGAAATGATAAGCATTCTGTTGATATCGACGTGTGACTACATTATTGATAGCCAGTAATGAAAAATGTTAACCAACGCTTCTTGCCCGACAATCCGATAAAAATGCACCCACAGATTGTTAGATTTTGGGCTGTGGCGTTCCTAAATATCACCATAGGTGAATTTACCTGAATTACTAATCCCAAATTTATAAAGTGAATTTCCTTCCAAGGTTCTTACTGGTTAAGACGGTAAAATATAATCTCCTTCGACACATTTTTCAACGTATTCTACAATAATCCCAGATACTTGTGCCTTATTTGTAAAATGAATAATACGAGTCAGATATTCAGTCTGATTTTTACTTTATTGATGAGTAATCATGGGTAGTATATCTGGAAAATATTCAAAATTTTGTTCTTAGCTGAAAATAGTATCATCTTTTTCAACGTACTGAGTGTGGGCCTTCTTCGAGTTTTAAACCTTCCCTTTTCTCACAAGAAGACTAGTGGTATTGAGAGCCTAATTGTCAGATGAGTAAACGATGAGAATGATTGGATGAGAAGACCCGTGACGCAAACTGTACCTGTTTGCTCACACAATTCTGATGACAAACAGAACAAAGATAAACATACTTATCCTGGCACCCCGTCGAGATTTGAAATATTCAAGTTGGTTCTCCACCACTGAAACATCACGATTCTTGATCAGCAACGGGATTCTAGAAATACTGCCATTTCACTTGAGCTCTGGAATTTAGCATGTTCTGCACGGTGTGCCCAGATAAGGAAACTGTGAACGAGCGATGAATGTCGAGCATTCTAAGTATCTCACCCTCAACATAAACACGCACAAACGCTGAATTTACTTCCTTATCGTACAGAAATTTGGTACTGCAAACTCATAGCTCAGTCAGAGTTAAGTTATCACGCGCAAACGGAAGAAGTGGACCTTCGTTAGGTGGATTTGTAAACCAGGAGTGAATTTAGATTTCATCGGGTGCCAAGTGATATTCTCGTTTTTCATTTGAGCAGACCAGCGAGCTAGGCTGAACTTTGTTCCCCAGGATCATCTATGTTCTCCTGAATAGAGTGGTTTAAGCACAGACTGGGCGCTGATGAACGACGTAAGATAGGATGAGAGTTTCCAAAGTTCAGGTGATAGTGAAGACACAAAGAGGTTGCATTGAAATCGATGATCACCTGCACAGCGCTTCTTTTGGAACTCAGAACTGGCCTTCCCGGAGGTGCCCGGTGGCTGTCTGTTAGCTATGTCGACCGCATCCATGGAAATATTTGGAATGGAAATCATTACCAAAGTATTTTGACAGGTCAAACCTAAGTACAGTTGGGCTCCACGAAGAAAACTAGCTAGGCTCATGCTGTTGCTATGGGAAGTGAGTTATTGTTTAAGAATGACCTTATGGATTACATTATCCATTCATCGAGAATGATGAGCGTCAAAAAATGCAAGTTGTCAAAGAATTTTCCGTTCCAACGGACCTCTTCCTAACAGATATCTGACACATTGCACACGGCACTGATCTGCACTATGATCAAAATTGTCCATGGTACCATATTCTGAGGATCTTTATCAAATTTGATTTGCTTTGCAGTGCTGGGCATTCCCGTCCATCACTACGTTTCCAAAATCATCTTGAGGGGCAAATAATGAATTGTTCTCATATTTGAGCCCCTCATCTCCTTACATCTAATGACTGCTAGTTGGGGTTTTCTTTCTTCAGTCATCTTTCTTCAGGGCAACACAGAGTTATCAACAAAGGTTCGACCATTGAAGTTAGGTTTGCCATCACTGAATGTATGCCAGAGGTGTATAACAACATGATCGACGTCGAAAACAAACTACTTTCTACCACCCAATATCACATTGTTCAAATTAATATTCTGAGTTGTGGAAATTCCGGCGCTTCCTTCTTCATTCTAAATACCTCGATCATTCATCTGAGACGTTGATCATATATTTCTGCACTGCAGAACTGGTGCATCCCCTCAGAGTTATTTGCCGTGCTAAATGCCTAAATATCCTTCCAACAACCTCGGTTTATCCGAAGCGAGAATCTCCTCACACCTTTCTTGCATATTTCCCCTCAAATGGCAGTTTTTCTCTTTGCCATTTAGTGAACAAAATGATGCAAATGACTGTTGTAGATCTGAAAATGTTCTTCTGTTATACTACAAATGGTTTAGTTTAGTTCATGCAACCACTAACCTGACACATCTGGGCTCTGGTCACGGTTGCTACCTCCTAGCACCGTCGAGTAAAGAACGCTAGAATGGAAGCATAAGATGATAAAAATACAAAATGTCGAAGCAATGAGCAGAAATCACGAGGACAGGGAAAGATTCCGGATGCAACTATGCCACTGGCCCCGACACCTAGCCAAGTCACCTAATGTTGCCAACCATGTAGTGAGTTGGTCAAGTGAACCTCAACACCGAATTCTCACACACCCTGCTTCGCCAAGTCCACTGTCAATGTTTTCATACCTTTCCGTCATATCATGGACTGACCAACGTCACAGATGACTGAGACTGGCAGAAACTGAAAGCGGATTCTGTGTGTGCCATGACACTTCATTCGATTTCTGTCCACCTGGTCAGTCGTAGTTGCCTAGGTGAAAAAAACTTATGTACCTCATCTAGAGCTTCTTTTCTAACACAATATTTGATGTTGAACCAACTCAGTCCTACAGCTGTATCTTACTCTTCTGAGGTGCGAATTGTACCCCAAATATTGATACACTGTTTCATAGTCTATCTAAGAAAGCGTGCAATTTACCTAGATATTTTCTCAGAAGAAAAATATCGTCCGCATATTCCAGGTCACACAGTTCGTTTCCTGAACAAAGATCGATGCCACTATTCTCGCAAAGGGGATGGGGTTATCTGAAGAATCATTGCAAATACGATGCTGAGAGGGAGGGGCCATAGAAGACACCTATGATGAGCAACAAATTGTGAGAACTCGAGTGAACGAATGACGGAAACACCAACTCGGCTTCGACTCTTTGCCATAACCGCTCTCAGTAGACGCATACTTCACAGAAATTGTTCTGGCTTCCACAACGAGTCAATTGAACTTTCCGTTATGTTTTCATAAACGTTTCCGTTGTTAGTCTATTGCTGTGAACATCGCAAACGCTGAAGCCCATTACGTCAAAGACACAATGAAGTCATCGAACTACCATTTTTGCTTCTTCACTCATCTTCATCACAGACTAAACTAGCTCATTTTGCACCTTCTTTGTCTCTGGTAAATTAAACACTAGTATCAACAATACCAGAATTAATGTATATGACACTTTGTACAAGGTTATGCGGAAATGAAAACGCCATCGTCTGAGAGCATCCTTCATTTCACTATGCAATCACACGGACTGGCATCCGTGTATCACTACTTTTTTATTCTACTCGAATTTGACCTGAAGATTAGATCGAACCACCAGATAAATTTGGAAACTCCGAATCCTTCGACAGTATTATTTTCGTTGTTCTTCTGATAATACTTATTTACTTTAGTTTACTAACGTCTCAAGCTCAGTTGACACATCTTCTTCCTAAACCCACGCACTCGTAATCTGAGCA